CTGGGGGGAGCAGGGACAGCCCCCAGGGAATGGCTGGAGCTGTGTCAGGGCAGGCTCAGGGTGGATCTCAGGGCAAGGTTCTTCCCCCCCAGGCTGGTTGGGCACTGAACAGGCTCCCCAGGGCAGTGGGCACAGCCCCAAGGCTGCCAGAGCTGCAGGAGGCTTTGGACAACGCTCTGAGGGACAGGGAGGGATTGTTGGGGTGTGTGTGCAGGGCCAGGGGTGGGACTGGATGATCCTTGGGGTCCCTTCCAGCTCAGGAGATTCTGTGACTGTGATTTCTCTGCTGGTTTCCTGCACAGACCTGCAGCCCCTCCTTCCCCCCTGCCTTTCCTGGCTGAGCTGCATCTCCCCTGGCCCAACCTCCCCCTGTGACTGGGTGTGAGAACGAGATTCCTTTCGAGGCTTCTGTGGCAGTCACTGTGTCTGTGGATTTTATGATAAAGGTCCACGATCAGGAGGGCCTTGAATTACAGGTAAACAATGAAACACTGCAGTTTCTTATATACAACCTGTGAGGTGCAATCCTCCCCTCCTCTGCTCAGCCCAGCTCCAGAACAGGCCTGAGGATTTTGCTTGTTTGGAGGTAATTCCCATGATGTCCTGCTTGGACTGATTTCAGGTGGTGGGAATGAGGAGGCTGAGTTGTTGGACATTCATGAACTTCCCAGGAAAGATTTCCCTGCTATCTGGAGTGTCTGTTGAGCAAACCCTGGGCTCAGCCTATTTTTTATCTTTCTTAAGTCACAAAGGAACTCTGACTTGGTCAGCCCTTGGTCCCAGAGAACAAACATCCCTGTTTGGGGTGTGAGAAGCATCATATTTGCTGGAGGTAGGACCATAAAAAATACTTTCCAGCCTTTCTACAGGCTTGAAAAAAGACATCCAAACAGGGAGAGAGAAAATTGGAACTAATCATTGTGGGTGAGTTGTTGCTTTTTGGGGGCCCTAAGACCAATTAATAGAGAAAAATTTGACATAGGGATGAATGATGGAAAATATTCCAAGGCAGGTTCCCCAAATTCAATGTGAGGAACCTTTGGACTCACTGGTGGGTTCCACAGGAGGAAATACTGAAAGTCAACGTGTCTGGAAAACCAGCTTACAAATGCCACAGGCCAGACATCCAGGAAAGTCCTGATCACAGAACCTGAGCAGAACTCCTTGCCAGGGATGTTCTACAAAGCCCCTCAGCCCCACCAAGCGCTGAGGGACAACCTGAGCCTGGCAGGAACTCCGTGGTGGTGCCTGGACTGATCCCAGCATCTGTGCAAAGCCCTTGGGGTGCAGCTTTAATTAGAAGGCCTAATTAGGTACCACCCGAGGGAAGAGGAGAAAGGAGATGCTGAAGAGCATCTTAATTAGGGTGAAAAGGGATGAGAGAGGATTGTGCTTATTCTCGAGGCTGTTGAATCCACTGACAAAGATCAGCTGGAGAAGGTTGGAGGAGGTGTGTTTTATAAATTCTCACACGCAACAGGAAAGAACAGAATAATAAAACTTCATTTCAGGGGAGAATGCAGGAAATCAGGCAACCTCCACAGCCAGTTCTAAGTACAGGTGACAGCTTTTTGATCAAACAGTCCCTTTTATGCTCGACAATGCCCATGAAAGGGGACCTCTTGCTCCCTGCATGTGACTCTGGAATTTTTTCAGGAGTTCCTGAAAAAAAGCCCTTCCTAGATGGCCCACAGGCAGCAAAGCTCCCTTCTGCACCCTGGGACAGTTCTGTCCTCATCAGGCAATCAGCATTCCGTTGGGTTCTGCTTGGGAGGAGATGTGTTGACATAAAATACAAGGATGGTTGGAGTGATGGATGGGTGATGGCTTTTCAAGGCCAGCCTTTAGAAGCCTCCATGGAGAGAAGCAGCTGTCCAGGGCAGGTATCTGCTCTGAGAGGAGATTTTCTGCCTGGAATTTTATAATTTTGAATGGTTTTTGGTCTGGATCCCTCTGGGGAAGAGCTGGGCCTTACGAAATCACAGGCTGAGAAAGTTGGAGTGTTCAGCCTGGAGAAGAGAAGGTTGTGTGGAAACCTCAGAGCACCTTCCAGTATCTGAAGGGGCTCCAGGGAAGCCACAGAGGGACTGTTCATCAGAACTGCAGTGACAGGACAAGGGGGAATGGCTTCAAACTGAAAGAGAGAGAGAGGTTTAGATTAGATGTCAGGGATAAACCCTTCCCTGTGAGCTCCAGGATTCCATCTCTCCCAGAGATCTGTCACTGCCACATGGGAATTAAGGCAGCACTAAAGGCACCAGGGGCAGAGATTCTGCAGGAGGTCTTTTTCATGGGAAAAACCTCCTTGAGCTTGTGCTGGAAAGCCAAACTCAGAATACCACAGTCCAGTGGAGTGGGAGCTTCTCAGTGCCCTCCAACCACCGAGAGGTTCTCCAGTCCCTTGGGCCAAGGCTGGGCAGCTCCCTGTGGTTTGGCTTCCACAGACTCTGGCAGGATCTGACATGTGTCCATGGGCAGTTTTAGCCAAGGAAATGGAGGGCTTGATGTAACTTCCGTGTTTGAAGTTGCCAGATGGTGTCTCTGGGTCCAGTTCCCCGTCTCTGACTGGTCTGGTTGCCTGGAGTTGGATGCAAAGAGAAAAAAGTAGATTCCCCACTGAGTGTCAGCTCCAAAATCCACACCTTCTGCTAAAGGTTGTGAGGTGTCTGTGGTCAGTGCATCCCACATCTTCAGGATCTGCTGGCTAGGGGACAAGGAAAGCCACAGGCTCTTTGGATGTCATTCCCAGGGCTGGGCATCACAGTAACCAACCACAGCCTGTCTTATCTGATCCAGGCAACAGTGAAGTGTAAAACACTGAAATCTCTTCCATGAGAATGAGGTCGTTTCCCCCTTAATCACTTCCTTTGCAAGGAATTGGTGGGAAAGCCAAGGCAGGTGGAGCTGGCATAGAACTGCTGGTGAAGGACATCTCCATCTGCCACACCTCCCTCTGGCCCTGCCTGGGAGCCTGTTGGAAGTCCTTTCCTCAGCCTCACCCCTGCTCGTGGATGAGCAGCTGGGTGTCTCTCACCTGCCTGACTTCTGCAAGACCTTTTGGGGAGCCCTTCCAGCCACTCCCTTGTCCAGAGGAAACAGTTTGTTCCTCCCCAAAGCACTTCTCCATCAGGTTCCCCTGCAAAGGTGAAGCTGTTCACTGACACCCCTGGGGAAAAGCTGCTCCAAGTGGAGAGGTTGAACCTCATCCTGCCTTTCCCCTCCAGCACTGACTAAACTCCCATGGGAAAACTAAGCTGGTAGAAATCCAGCTCAGGAAAAAGGAGGAAAGATGTTTCTGATCAGGCAGTGACTTCAGATGGGTCCAGAGCTAAAAGATGAAGCCCCATGAGCCGCTGAACTCTCCAGGAGCACTAGGCTCATGGCTGCTTTTCCAGGCTCACAGTGTGGATTTGTTTGCAAGTGGTGCAGGTCACAGAGTCATGGAATCATAGAATCCTAGAATGCCAGAACAGTTTGGGTTGGAAGGGATCTTAAAGCTCACCTTGTTCCACCCCTGCCCTGGGCAGGGACACCTTCCACCAGCACAGGTTGCTCCAAGCCCTGTCCAACCTGGCCTTGGACACTTCCAGGGCTGGGGCAGCCACAGCTTCTCTGGGTAAGCTGTTCCCTCACAGGGAACAATTTATCCCTCATATCTGCTCTCTCAGGAAGGTGTTACCCTCCCTTTCACACCCTGCTCTGATCCCAGAGGGTTTGTGCAGCTGAGACGAGGAGCAGAGAGGGGAAAGCTGCTTGTTTTCTGATTTAAACAAGCTCCCTGTCCCCCCAGCTGTGGTGGTGACAGGAGGGAAGGTGCCACTGGCCGAGCTAAATTCCCATTCCTGTGGCGCATGAGGAGCAGGCTGGAGACACAGCTCAGTGCACAGCTGGTGTAGCCTGGAGCACGGGGTAGGAACACCTTCCTCGCTGAGCAGCTTTCCCTGTGAGTTAGTGGGAAAACACCTGAAGGGCTGCATTCCAGAGGAGAGGATGACAAGGCTGATTGGAAAGACTTTGGTGAACTCTGGGATCTCTTCTTGCCTGTGACGGGGCTGTGCTGGCATCAACCACAATGAGGAGGATTCCTTCCCACTATCCCATCTCTCCCTGCCCTCTGGCACTGGGAAGCCATTCCCTGTGTCCTGTCTCTCCAGCCCTTGTTCCAAATCCCTCTCCAGCTCTCCTGGAGCCCCTTTAGGCCCCTGCAAGGGGCTCTCAGGGTGTGTGTTGCTCAGACAAGGAGCACAGAGGGGAACAACCACAACCAGGGGTCC